GGATGTCAGTTCCCAGCAGTGAGGGTTTTGGGCATAGTTGACATACCCATACAGTCCATTGCACCCTAGCCACTCTACATCTAGGAACACATTCATTGTTTACCCACTTTTATATAGTGGCATTGATTTCCATATCATATGGTTCAGCACACTATCCAGCCAGAGTTCTCTCCCACTTGGATGTGCTCCTCTACCATTCCACCCATATCTTATATGTATTTCATGTATGGGTGAAGAGTACACCTAGTAAAGAAGTGGTGTGGTTCCCCTTATCAGATCTTCAGGTCTGACTCTTTCATTTCAAGGGGTTTCCTTCAGATGCTTTTGAAGGGTGCTTTTATTGTTCCCTTGTACCATTCCCTCCTCCTATTCAATGTGGGATTCTAGCTAATCTTGTGAGTGGAGGGAATTACCATATCAGAAGGTATAGTTTTCCTATACTGAAAACGTATTTCCAATAGGTAATTCCCACTTCTCACATTTCCCACCCTTCCTTCCCACTGAAAACCGGTGCTTCCCATCTTCTGCCAAACTCGAAGTGATAGTTTGGTGGAAGAATATTGTGGGAGTCGCGTGACTATGACACACTCCATTGGTGGAGAAGTGACACATGATGATTTGCATGAGAGACATGTTGGAATCACTAGATTCCAATAGGTGGGAGCAGAATGCTTGTGGCATGCATTCAAAAAGTTTGCATACAGAGGGCAGCACTGAATAGGAATAGAGTGGAGGGGAGTACCTATCAGAAATACATTTTCAGTATTGGAAAATTATAAATTTTGGACAACATATGGTAATATAAAGTTTACATAAGTTAAAATGTCTACTTAGTCATCTGAACAATGCATATGCATGAGACTTGTTACTAACCTGTTTAGGGGATGGTATGTTAATATCATAGGGATTCTGTGAGTTTGACTGTTGTCTTTAGGTTGGATGGCATTTGTATGTGATACAGTGCATATATGTTTGTGGGTCTTTTTTATTATCTCAACCATGTATTTAAGTTGTTTGAAAAATTGTACCATCATAGTGGTTTTGCAGAAAAAGTCTTGGTTCTCAGAACATAAAAGTCTTAGTCTTGTTAACTGTCCTTTATAAATGGCAACCTTGGTTTCTTAGGAGTGGGAAGAATGGTAGTTTAAGTATGCATGACTGTCAGGACCTTTGTAGCTGTATGGTGATTTTAAGTTAGTCACCTGATATGCTGATATTGATGTTGGAAAGTAAAACATTTGCATCAGAGACTTGATAAGTGTACTTAAAAGATCAATAGTATTGTGGGATAAAATTGATTAAGTTCTCTTTTTTTGGAGCCTTGGCACAGGTAAGAACACCTAAAATATTGTCAATGTAGAGAATTCATGGAAAATTCCATCAAAAGACATATAAAGATATTCCTCAAGGTAGCCAACAGGTTAGCAAAGGAAGGATCCATTTTTGTTAAAGTGCTCCGCATGGAACATATGCAATTAGAACCACTGTAAATTCTAAGCCTCCAACAATTTTTTCATACTCTATTTTCTATATAACACTATACTTACAGTGGATGTAGGTCCAAAATATTACATAATACAATTTTTATTTAGACCTTCTAATTTTTCTTTTATTATCTTCTATCCAAATTGTTTCTGCTTATGTCTTGTGTAACAACATTCACTCAAATGTCAAATTGGTGCTAAGGCAAACAATATGCTAAAATTAAATATATATACCTATTTTTGTCCAGAAGTCCTTCAAAAAGTAACCACATTTCTAGATTTTATTTGTATTACCTTTAATTTCACTATAAAATTGTTAATAAATATGGAAAAATCATTAAATTCTAATTTTGTAGTCAGTATCTAGCTAATTACAATAATTAATTTTGATATAACTGTTCTTTTAATTTGAACTCGCACTCTGTGCAGTGGTGCATGGATAAAATAAGAATATATGCAGTAAGTTTCCTTTATCTTGAATAAGCGTAGTAATTAGTTATTTTTAGTTCCAATTTAATTACTCCAACATTGTTTCACAAGGTTTCATCAAACTTAGTGACAATTTTGACTGAGCATGACAAGATTTACATTCAAATTTTATTATACTACTTTTTGTTTGTTATACCAATTAGAATAGCATAAAATCTTAGCTAATAATCCATATTTAATAGAATACAAGTTTTAAGTTCTTAATTATACAAAGCAATATTTAAAAAATCCTGAATTTCCACTAGTGTGAATCACGTGACACATTTTCTCTTAGCATGTCATCATCCCTATTTTATCCACCACCCCTCAAAAAAGTATGAAATTAAATGTAAATTACTCTCTATAAAATCATTATTGCTCAGACAAACCATAATTTTTATATTCTTCAATTTTGTTTGGTTACAGAGCTATCGAATAGAAAATCATACCCCTCCTGCCACACCCCCCTGTCACACCCTCTCTTTCAGGATTTGTTAATAGTTTTCTCTTATATTTGATTATATATATATTACCTATAACCAATAGAAAGTCAAGGTTTTCATCTATCAAATGATTCATTGCATAACATTGTGTTCTGAACAGAAAAGCATCAATTTCATTTAAAGTACAAGCTTTGTTCCCATGGGAAAGTTAATGACTAGCTTGGATGAATTTGTAACGTCTCTTGTCGCATAGCTAGAAA